CCAAATGCAGTTTCTCCCTGCTTTTCTATGCAGACCCTCTCCTTCATGTAGAGATGGAGGAGGTTTAATCACCCTCGGGACTGTCATTTCCTGAGCCAAGATAAGGACTGCATTGAGTTATCTGGGCTACAGACAACAAACATAAGTATCTGCTGTATAAATACGATTATTTGTAGAGCCAAAATATTATAGGTTCATAAAGCCTATCATTTGTGTGGTCTTAAGTACATTATGTCCAAAGGTAGAATGAGGGTGTCTAATTATAAGATTGCACTAAAGATGGAAACCTTTTAGTCATTGAAAATAACACTTTGCACTTACACAATATCTTTGACTTCAAAGTGATTTATAAACAAAGATTAGAGTACAATATCCAAAAAAGGATGACAATCCCCCTTAAAAGGGTCATCAAGATGAAGAATCAAGAATAGACTCTATATATTTAGAACTTTCTGCTTTGTATTCTGTCTCCATCAAAAATTGTGATGGAGCACAAACCACAGAAAGCTTGTGTTCCCATCTAATCCTGGGACATTTTGAACACAAAAAGGGACAAAAAGCTATTGGGTTGGTTTTTTTTTTTTTTAAAGATTTTAAGCTGTGTGTTTTTTTAAAATAAGTTTCTCCCTTATTCCTAAAAAATCAAAGTTTCCTTAGCTTGCCTGCAAACTTAGGCAGATAAGTATTTTAAACACTCAGTAGAAATGTCTAAAATCTACAGCATCTGCAATCAAGTTTTTTAGGGTCCTATAACTTATTAATTCTTTCTAAATCTCTTGAACAATACAGATTTAGAGACCTAAATTCTGAGCCAACTGCTTGAACCGATTTGTATTAGAACATGAGCTATACTAAAGCATGCTGACCTGAGTATAAACATTATCAGCACTGCTGGTTTCTGTCCTCTGACAGTAAACCCAATGACAGAGAGCAGTTCACAGAAACCAGGAGGGGACCAGAATACAAACAAAAATAGAACATACAAACTTAGTTTAATTATATTTGTTAAAAATATCGGAACTGTCACAAATGTTTAAATATTTTAATCTAATAAAACTATGAAATTAAACAAAATTTCAAAAACACTGACTTATTTCTGTTTACAAGCAGTAAATCTTATTTAAGAAATTCC